CATTTGGATATGTTAGCAGAGCATCTCGTAAAGTTGTAACACAGGAATTTGTTTTATTATTGTGAGAAATCAACAGGAGAAGTCACATCAGTAGTTTGACGTATTAAATCATGCTCATAATTGATTTGTGCCATATCTTAACTTTCATTTCGTGATTTTGATTCAGTTACATGAAAATTCAACTTTTTATCTCATAAATTTGATTTAAAACAAACATTTGTATTGAAAACGCAGAGAAATAAATCTACTACATCATAAACTAAATTAATAGTTTATTATTTCCACCCGTTTTGCAGCATCCCAGCATGCAGCTGACCGCCAGCAGAGCCTCCACCTCACTCCACATGTCCTCTCCGCTACCTGGACTGTCTCAGCCCGCCACCCTCCCCGTCTCACCTGTGTGACACCTCCTCGCTCCTCAGCAGCCAATCAGCGGCCGGAGCGCGGCAGGGCGCGGCTCTGACTGGAGAAGGTGTGAGCGCACTGATTTCTGGGAAGATCAACGATGTCACCGCATCTCAGCGCGCACAAGAAGGAGGAAGGACAGGGCGCGGTGGGACTTCAGGGGGCAGGGTTCCTTTAAGGCCAGAGGCGTCGGTTCGGACGGCTGCTGTCGGACCTGCTGCTCCAAGATGGTGAGTTTCACAGCTGACTGGTTCTGACAAGGTGCGTCCTGCAGCTGTAGGCAAGGAAGCACACGTCCTGTTTATCACTCTGCTGGAGCTGCTCAGTTCAAACCAGTGAACAGTCTGCTGGTGGATGTTGTTTATTCTTTTTTATATCTGCAGATGAATTTCCTGTAAGAACATCTTTGATCACACGTCATGTATTTGTGGAATTTCCTTTTCATGTAGAACTACTCAGCAGTGTGTGATTCAGCTCTGTGATCCATCTCCTCATGTCAGGATGACGAAGCTTTACGTGCAGTGTAGCAACAATGACAGCTCTGAAAAGCAAATGAATGCAAATCTGTGTGATGGATTGGCTCCCTTGATATTTCTTGACACAATAAACATCAGCTATCACAGAAAATCACTGAACTGAAGTCCACGAAAGAGAAACGTTCTTCCACTCTTTCCTCCACCCGTCCTGTGTTACGGCGTTGCAGGAGTATCAGTGTTGCTTCCAGCTGCACCTCAGGGCAAAGAGCTTCTCATTAATTGCTGTTGCACAACACAAACACCATGTTTACTGCCTTATTGCACTCAAAGGTGATTTAGATGTGTTGTATTTCCCAGGGGAGCTTCACTCACATTAGTAGTTGTGAAATCTAATTGCAGTTTGTTGCAACTGAGCCTGCAGACAGAGCGAGTGTTGCTGTGTTTGGACATGCATGTGTCTCCGGCTGCACATGAGCCACTACAGCTGTTTGTTCATAACGTGCTCCTCCTGTTTGCTTCGTCTACACTCTGCAGTTCTGCACATGCACATGATGCAACACAAACAAAAACAGAAGTCCTAAAGTTTAGCGGCGTCATTGCTTCCTGCTCTTTTCTCCAGATACGCTTCTTGCTGCTGTTCAGTCGGCAGGGGAAGCTGCGGCTGCAGAAATGGTTCACGCCGTTGTCGGACCGGGAGAAGAAGAAGGTGATCCGGGACATGACAACGCTGGTGTTGCCTCGTCCGCCACGTTCAAGCAACTTTCTGCAGTGGAGGGACCTCAAGATCGTTTACAAGAGGTGACCGTGAAAGACAGCGTTTAATGGTTAACTTGGGTGTTCTCTTTGCTCGTGCTGTAAAACACACAGACACACCTTCCTCAACAACGGGCTGACCAGACCCAGGTAGGGTTATGGTGAAGATAAACACAGAGCGTGACCTACATCAGTGACTTGTAGTAATGGTGCAACTCACATGTGGGCTCCTCTGCTGGCCTTTAGTCATAGTGACAAGCTGGAGGTGCTGGATGTGAATGAAATGAACAGGAACGCCTCACGTTTTAATGCAAGCCGACCCAGCAACACGTTACAGTACAATAAGAGCAACAGGTGGGACCTTTATGCAGCTTTTAGTGAATCTGTTCAGTCCTGGACAGCATGAGTGGAAAAGTTCTTAGAATTACATCTGAACATTGATCTTCTTGATCTTCAGAGCAGCACTTTACCAACAGGTTTATTCTCTTTGGACTAATTTTACTCCAAGACGCTGCACACAGACATTCAGATGTAAGAACTCCTTCTCCTGAGTGGTAGTCCTGGTTTCTCGACAACGTTGCGGCAACCATTTCTGCAACCTTTCTCCTCTTCACCTGCAGGTACGCCAGCCTGTATTTCTGTGTTGGTCTGGAGGAACAGGACAATGAGCTGCTTGCCCTCGAAGTGCTGCACAGATACGTCGAGTTGTTGGATAAATACTTTGGCAACGTGAGTAGAGCCGGATGTCGTAACTCACAGCTTGTTAACAGACTGTTTTAATTGTCATCTGGGTTTGTTTGGGTTTTTTTTGGAGCTGCGCCCACACACAGGTGTTCTCAGCTATTCTGGCTAATTGGACCTCTGCTCAGGCCCGCTTTGGTTGGCGTTTAGTGAGCTCACCAAACTTTTTGTGCACCGTAGCGATGTCAGCCATTTGTTGAGCATCGTGTTACAAATTCAGTTTAGTAGATCAATCTGTACATGCATTATTAATGCATTCCTCTGCCATGCACAGTCAGACCGATGTTAGGACCGTCTGTGATCTGGGTCACGGACTCATCCTGTCCAGTAGAAGTTAAAACTAAGGGTCACTGGAGCTGGAATGATGTTTTTCCACCACTGACACAAGAAGCTTCACAGTTAAGAAATGACAACAAAAAAAGAAATTCCTGACAGATGTAGAAGCTGGATGGGTTTACTGTGTAGAAGCTCTGGAGTGTCTGTGATCCTGCAGGTCAGACTTTACTTCACATCATGCTGTGTGTCAATCATAAGCAGGATATAAACATTTCATACAAGCTTGGAAATGGTTCAATATCGTATGTTGTAGTTGAAGGCAGATAGAGGCGCGTTTTAAAGTGTTTGGTTGCTTACAGTATAATATCACAGCTGTGTTTTACGACGTCGCCATCAATGAACTGTTTGTTTAACAGCCTCCACTTGTGAAGAACTTCACATCATAAACCATGAAATGCTCACATAGTGCTTATTGTGAATAGAGGGACAGAGAGTGTGTGAACATTGAACAGTAGCCAAACTTAATACCTTGTTAGATTTAGCCTAAATCCATCCATCCATCATCTCTACACCTTAATCCTCATGAGGGTCATGGGGGGCGGAGCCTATCCCAGCTGACTCAGGGTGAAGGCAGGTTCACCTGGACAGGTAACCAGTCTATC